ATATATATATATATATATATATATATATATATTAGCAAAGGGGGCAAGGGGTCTGCTGTGGTGGTGGTGCTGTCTGAATTTCCTTTCAAAGAAAGCCACTTAAAATTGTTTATTGGAGAAAAACACTTGCTGAGTTTCTCTGCATGCATACATGCACAAATGCATGTATGCATGCATGCATGCATGCATATATGCAAAGTTTGTGTCTTTCAAACCATTCGTTTTATAGACGGAACTAAAAGAGTAAAAACCCTTCCAATTACTCCACCATTTCTTTGCATCTGCATTTACCGCACTTTTGTTTGTGCGTAGCGAACATTTATCTCGCTTTGTTTCTGCTTTACCATGTACACCCCACAACTTCAGGTGTACATCGAAACACACCCAACAGCTTCAGGTGCATAGTATAACACACCCCACAACTTTAGGTGTATAATATAAGATACCCCACAACGTCAAGTGGATAATGAGCCTACACCCCACAACTTCAGGTGTATACTAACAACCCACAACGTCAGGTGTATATAAGACACCCTACAGCTTCAGGTGTGTAATAGAAGACACCCTACAGCTTCAGGTGTATAATAGAAGGCACCCCAAAACTTCAGATATATTGAGGAGACCCCGCAACATCAGGTGTACAGAGGAGAGCATACAACTTCGGGTGTACGTACACTCCTTAAACTTCCGGTGTATGTACACCACACGACTTGAGGCGCGCAGTGTACACCCCACAACTTCAGGTGTATATGTTAGACCCCCGAACTTTGGCTGTACGTAGAACTCCTCCCGACACCGCATCATTTCAGGTGTACGTACACCTCAACTCCACTGCGTTGTTTGATCGCGTTGCTGCGTCCTTCGATTTCCCTTTTCTCTGGCGTGATATCTGTACTAATTTGTTAATTGATAATATCCGTCAGCAACAGTAAAAATGCGTATATTATCCCTTTGCGCAGTAATGTTTCTCCTTGTGTTCTTTACTCTGCGGTTTACGACGGCGCAGCACTCGCTGTTATTCCCCCTCTTATTTCTGCAATTTCGTGCTGCAGACTCACCCCAATCTTATGCGCATGCACGCAAGCTGCGAAGAACTGCCCTGCAGTTTGAAGGCTCCTATGGAGTCTGCTGTATGTACGGGTAACAAGAAGAGGATGTACTACAGAGCCCACAATAGCAGCACTTAATTCTTTATAATACTCCAACAAGTATTCTAAGGAGTCAAGAGAATAACGAGCAAGCCTTGAGAAAGGCATCAATACCTTTGCCATTTGAGCGGTAAAGCTGTGATGCTTTGTAAGCTCCTTACAAAAGAATTTGCTGCTTTCTCTTACCAAATTCGTCAGCTGCGTCAGACGCCCCCTTAATACATAATAAACACCAAGTGTATGTACAGCTTTTGTCTTGCGGCTTTCAATATCTAATGTATGAGAGCCTCTTCCAGCCACAATTGGTATACCACTTAAATAAAGCAATCGTTTGCTGCATATATCTACATCTAATACAGTTGAAATAATATCACTGGTGTATCCACGAAGTGTTTCAATGCTCCCAAAAGTAAAGAGCTGACCCGCCCATTCTAATACCATTAAATATGTTCTTAATAATTCTTGTAAATGAAATGAATCTAAGAGGTTTCCCGTTGCTTCTACATGCCAATACTCTAATACATCTTGTACCTTGCCACTCCTGAAATGAGGTAAACCTAAAGAATGCCACACTGTCTTCGCAGGGTCTGCTGGTGCGGCTCTACTACCTCGGCCTACTGTTAGGCCTCCATCAGCAGGTGTATTCTCCGTTCTTGCTGCTGAGCGCATATCAGGAGAAGAAGAAGGCCCAATCTGCACAAGAGATGGAGAAGTCACAGAAGGACGAGGGGCTGTTGCTGCTGCAGGTGCTGTTGCTGCTGCTGCTGCTGATGGTGCAGTCTTTCCCCCCCTCCGAAACAAGGCTGCACATAAACATCAATACATAAAAACATACATATATATATATATATATATTAATGCCTCTTCATTTAAAAGGAGATAAACAAAAAGATCTTTAAAACAAGCATATACACCCCAACAACCACCACAAACGAAAACCAATCAATGCAGCAAATTGCAAGTGTAAGACTCATTACAAATAAAACTTCATCCATCCATACATTCATAACAATAAAGCTGCATGCATGCATGCATGCAAATGAAGCTGCACGCATGCAAATGAAGCTGCATGCATGCAAGCATGAATACACGCATTCAAATGAAGCTGCATGCATTCAAATGAAGCTACATGCATGCATACATCCAAATGAAGCTGCATGCATGCATACATTCAAATGAAGCTGCACGCATTCAGATGAAACTGCATGCATGCAAGCATGAATATACGCATTCATATGAAACCGCATGCATTCAAATGAAGCTGCATGCATGCAACTGCCTCTACATGGATGCATGCATGCATGGAAGACGACTCACATGAAAGACGGGCTCCCAGACGTTTCATCAGGCCTGGCTTCCGTATTCCCTTTGGAGAGGCATCAGCAGCTGCAGCAAACGAGTTGGGGTGTACAGACACTTCGGAAAAGGCGAGAGCAGCGAGGAGAAAGAGGAAAAGAAAAACAAACGCAAGAACCAGGGAGGCTGCACTTCGAAGAGGGCGCCTGCGAGCTCGAGGCGCACGAGGGGGGGAAAAACCCCCAAAAGAAAAGAGACAAGAAGCAGCCATCTGCATGCGTTTGCTGCTGCAGCTGCTGCAGCCTCGCGCTACTGCTCTCAAGCACTCCTGCTTATTTGTGTGCAGCTGCAGCAGTAGCAGCAGCAGCAGACCACAACAACACCCATTAAAAGGTATACTCCTCAAACATTCGCTCGCAAGAGACCGCCATAGGAAAAAACAAACCTAAGCCAAGACAACGAAACTTTTTATGCTGCTGCCTCCGCAGACTGCTGTCGCCAGTTCAAATGCTGCTGCATTTGCTGCCGCTGCATTTGCTGCTGGTGTTGCTGTTGTTGCTGCTGCTGCTGCAACCGCTGCTGCCGCTCCTGTTTGTGGGAAGTGAATACAGCACTCAGGCTGCTCGTCTTCCAATTGCACCTGCTTCTAGCGCTGCCGCTGCTGCTCCCTCTGCTGCTGCTGCTGCTGCTGCTGTCGCTGCTGCTGCTGCTACCGCTGTTGCTGCTGCTCCTGCTGCAACTGCTGAGTAGGCGCACGTCGAGATAATGCAGCAGCAGACGTGCAGCGCTGAGGAATATACAGACGTGGAGATGCCTTTGAGGGTTCGGACGTTAAATGGAAGATCTGCAGAAAATGAAAAGAAGAGAGAAGAAAAACAACAGGGGAGAATGAATGGCTGGAGCGGTCGGGCGCTCACTCGCACGCCATTGTGCAGCCTGCTGTAGCCTATTCAATCGCTTTTCGCGAAATATAACTCTAAAATAAGAAAAATAAGGATATTTCGACAAAATAAAAGCAAAGGCATTCAAGAAGCAACCCATCGACATCTCTATAGCCGCATGTAAAGCGGCTACCGTTCGGAGCTGCCCCCACGACGACAGAGGGGGGATTTGTTTTCTTCTTTCTTTTGCTGAATTAAATTAGTATATAACACAAACTTTCACTGAAAACGCTGAAAAAAAACAAAATATATGACTTTTAAATGCAAGATCCGCCGCTTGCCACCTCTTAGGTGTGGAGCGCCTCTTCGATGTGGGTAGCATACTATGCGAACCTCTAGGCGACCGTACATCTCAATAAATCAGTTTTAGTATCTCGTTTTCACTTAATTTCAAGTTTTTTCATCCAAAATAAACTTTAAGTAGAGCCCCACTACACCTGTATGTACACCACAAGGACAGTAGCGACGGGAGCGACTTAGTGAGCGCGAGCAAATAACTCTAAGCAGATATTATTACTGTTCGGTTCTCCCCCTTCTTATATTCACAGAATTGATATCCCCTTTCCCCCCCCAATTTGCCAGTTAACAGCCACTCTTTCAAAAGTTTGGAGCGCCGTTTCTGTACGGAGAGTCGTCGAAGTAGGAGGGAACATCGTCAGGTGTATGTACGTACACCCATATCAATTTGGGACAGGACTCCCCAAAAGGCGTCTGACGCTCTTCCCACTCTCCAATAGTATGGGGAGCAGCTCCACAGCCCAACAACGCCGTGGAGCTGCTGCAGTTAGCATCCTGTAGCATAGTGTAACGGGTCCTTGGTCTTGCCAGAGAACCGTTGTGAGATGCAGGAGAAACAAAGATTTAACTTGATAGTTCCTAAAAAGGAACTCCCGGGGACCGGAGGGCTCCCCCCCGTTCCCCAGTCATCATGGGCTCAGCGGTTCAAAGGCCTGGCGGAGGCCGCCTGAGATGATTTGCAACGCACCGCACTATGAATACTGCTGCATTCAAAGCATTCGCAGAAGAACAAAGAAGTTCCCTTGGATGCATGTACTAACACTGTAGCCATTGTTGAAAACTTGGTCGTTAATAGCAATGACGCGGAAGAGGCTGCAACCCAAGGCACAACCCAGCCCCCAAATATGAAAAAAGTAAAGGTGTGGTTGGCAACAGCACTGACTTGGCAGTAGGTAGAGGAGCGATAGTATTTCACGGAGAAAAAGCAGTTGTCTCCGGATGGCGCATAGATAGAGATGAACGAGCGCCTTTTTTAGTCGTGATAGAGCAATGGCTGCCGAATAGGTAAACACGACCCAGCTTGAAGTTGTGCCGGGCGAGCGAGCCCGCGCTTGTAGTTAGCGGCGCTGAATCATGAAGTACCAGCAGGCATTCTTGAGGAATTGATTTCCCCATTCTATCCGCGGGCATCCGCTTGGCTTGTCGGCCCTCTGGACATTTAATATTCCCGATTACTTCTATGGCCTCTGCCGGTTGTCACCCGTGCGCCGAGGACCTCAGTCTCCTCCATTTGTTCCTCATCGTCAGTGAGGTTGCAGCATGCTTGAAAGTAGAGCTCGGGGGAATTCCCGTGATTCTCTGTGCCCTGTGAGAAAACCGGAAATGATAGTATGATCGCATTTTCGTGCTGGGGTAAACCGACGAGGACAGCGCATGCATCAGCCAACGAAAGGCACAAGGGCCTATCCAAGGCGAGGCGAATCTCCTTCTCGACACTCCCTTATGCGTGTTTTGGAGAGACTGCAAATAATACACAAATACGAAACCCTATAGTTCTAATTGCTGGCATAGAATATGAACGCCATTGTGCTTTTGCGAGCAACTGGTACTCGCACAGCAATTTACGGGCACAAAGCAGCTCCCGCAGGTGATCCTGCACACTCTGGCTAAAAATGATCGCGCAATTCACCTATAGAACCATTCACTTTTCATTTGTTTGCATTACGATATCGTAGTTGCTCTGCTTCTCCAGCTCATCAGGAGCAAACGTGGGCCCAAATGGTCATCAGCAGCCACCCCAATTTAAGACTGCTCGTATGGAATGCAGTCTTGAGCTGTCGTCGGGATGTATTGGGACCTGCCAAAACGCAAGAGCGAAGTCAGATTATGAATATGGTTCTGAGACTTCCAAGCGGTCAAGTAGTTCGTCGGCGCGTCCGAGACTTGTTTCACCGTGACCCATATGAGCCAGGCCCCGTCCCTGCTCCTCCCCAGCACCGGATTGTTTCCCAACGCACTACTTGACTGTTGAATCTTGTTTTTCCTTTGCAGTTCTCTTTGCTTTCTGTTTGACTTCGTCGTCAACATATGGGGATCTCCTGTGGCGCGAAAATTGACTTGGGACTGCTCCGGGAGTGGATTCGATGCGGTGCAGTGAGCGCCCAGCTGATGCCCGGCCCGTAGGTAGCTCGTTGGATTTTAGTCCATCTAAGGACTTCTTTTTTTTGCTGCGACTTCTGCTGTTTCTGGATTACGTACTGGATCAAACATCCCACAAATGCGGTTCTGGCAAGGTCAACGAGACGCAATGCGTGCATCTCTCTGTCGTTTCCTTCAGCGCCTCGGCACTGCGTACCCGCCTCCTCGTTCCTTTCTGCTCAAGACACTGACTCCATTCATCTTTTCGTGGAGAATGCAGGTGATGCTTCAGGAAAAATAATAAACAGTTGTTCTCATTTAACGGCCAACTCTCAAGAGCATTCTCTCAAGCATGCAGTGAGCCCGCTGGGCGTAAACCGACCCCTGCACTCTTCGTGAGAACTGCTTCTTAACGCTGCAGACACTCCATCTTTTTCGAAGTACTTTCCACGCCCAGCACTTAAGTTAGCTTCCTCATGTTCAGACCACCCATCGACTCTTGATGTAGCG